CTGTTTGCAAAGGGTTAACATGGCTGTAAAACTACTTCTGAGGGTTTATAAAAATACAAAACAATTTGCATTTACTGAGTGCATTTTTAGAGATTAGTGCAAAACAAACCAAACCCAAAAACAAAAAACCAAGAAAAGAGCATATTTGCAGTCAGGAGTTGTCAGAGGTTGGCAGAGGTATGTAAAACATGAAATCTCTTCAGGGTCATTCGTATGGACCCCAAATCTCTATTGATTCTTTCCAAACGATCTTCCAGGGCTTCCTAAAGGGAAGAGGTAAAGGAAAGAAAGCAAAAAAAACCATTAATAATACATCATAAAACCCAGTGATCCTTCTAAAATCAAGAAACTACTACTGTTCCTCTCTCCCTGGTATCTTCATGGTATCCTGAGGCCTTGAGCTGCCTGATCTAGTGAGGAGGTGTCCCTGCCCAGGGCAGGGGTTGGGACTGGATGATCTGTAAGGTCCATCCCAACCCTTAAATTCCATGATTCTGTGATCTTTTCAGGCATTATGAGCATTCTGGTAGCATCCAAAAACCAGACCTAAAAACTTGTCATGTTACTTTCATGTGTGTGTGTTTGGGGGTTGTAGGAGGTTTTTTAAACTGTTTCAAGGTATTTTGGGTTTTGTTCTTTTTTTTTTTTCCATGTGAGTTAGGAAACTCCACAAGATAAACTTGACAAGAATTAGGACAGGCTGATAATCAGGGAAACACATTCAGGAAGCAACTGAGCACTACAGTGAGTGGCAGCACTGATTTATGGGAATATACTTTAAATTTCAAATGGATAAATTGATACCAAACCTTGGGATTACAATTTGGGAAGTGCTGATGTTGAAGGCTTGACAGAGACCTCCAAAACACAACTTTGAGACACTCATGCTTACCCAAAGACTCTGCAGAGCTTCCCAGAGAAGTCACTGTCCTGTATTCCACTTACACGACTTATTTTTACTTCCTACTTTCTTATTTATGCTTTTAAGTCGAAAAAAACAAACCAAAAACCGAAACTTTGCAATTTCTCCTACAGTACAAGATCCTCTCTGCAGTTTCAGGGATCTGGTTCATAGTCACTGCATTTTCTTGAGGTATTGCTTTTATCTACCTCTCAGTGTCACCACAAGAACAGACTATTCTGGCAGTAATGTGGCAAAATGCATCCCATGGACAAAAACCAGAAGATACAAACAATATGAAAGAGTAACATAAAACCCATATAAAAATCCCCACAGTAACCACATTTACTACACAGAGGAACCTTCATGTACACTACATATTCTGAAATTCTGGAAGAAGAACTCCAGAGAACAGTCAAATGCAGAAGCTTTTCACCTGATTTAGTCTTGCTTGCAAGGTCATTCTTCCACCAGAACAAGGTATTCGACTCAGTGCAGCCTCAATCTAGTAACAGAAAACACTTCAGCTGTAAATTAGAGTTTCAAGAGCCAACATAAGCCTCCCTGACTGCTCTTACAAGAGAGGTGAGGTGTATGGATCACAGGAGCATGGACAGCTTTGTTCTTCAACACTCTCTTTGTAACCATAACACTGTGCCAGACAGAACTGATACAAGAGTTGACACCCAGGAGTGAACTCTCAAGGATCCTTCTGAAGAGAACATTCACTTGCCAGAATAACCTTCCTTGGCTGAAAAGCTGATTTAAAGCACTGAGGAAAGAAAGCAACTCCACTCCAACCCTCACTCACACTGTGTTTGTGTTACAGTGCCTCCCCTTTGATGAAATCAGGGACAGGGAAGGACTGGAATAGAGCAGGGAAGGATAATGGCACAAAATTGTGCATGAATTCCAGCCATCATTGCGTGGATACACAGCTCCACTCCTCACCTCTCCTGCAACAACTATGTTTTGTCACAACTTGAAAACAAAAATCATCTTTGCCTGTTGCTTTTCTTGAGTCAGCTCGTCAAAAAGCCTCTCAGTTTCAGCCAGAGTCGTGATCCTTGCTGTGTACTTGAAGTCTTCCTCACAAGATGACAGCACTGGCTCATATTTTTGAGCTATGCTCCTCTCATCCCAGGCTGCTGCTTTCTTCATCCCGTTGTTGATGGGTTCAGCACAGGAGCTGTGCCTGACACCTGAATGTTGCCTTCCTGTCAACAAAACAAGGCTCTTTTTACTGGTTTGGTAATTGTCTGGGAAATTATTATACAGGACAGAAGAAGAAAGACATAACAGCATGAGCAACGTGATCTTGGAGGTATGTGAACTGACTAGCAAAGCCTCAGCCACTTGCCTTAAACAACTACCCAGAAGAATGCAAAACATCTGTGTGGGTCATCTTTCCAGTGATCTTTGTAACAGAGCATATTTTTTTGGTTAACGAACAGATTCCTGCATTGTGCTAATTAGGGAATTACTTTTCCTGGTACAGCATTGCTAAGTATCCCCAAGCAGAGTAGTTGTCATGCAAAACACCAGCCTCAATAAAGGCAGAACATTGGTGACAAGGATTACAGGAGTGAGAAAAGATTTGGTTCAATCAATCATTTAAACAATTTGAAACTGGTTTTATTAGAGTTACTCTTTGCTATCTGTAATGCAATGTTTAGCAATAGAGTTTTATTAGGATGACTCAGGATGTACATCTTAATCTAGAGCCCACTAAGACCTGCATTGTGTAACTGAGTTAAGCACAGGGAAATGTATTGGCCTTCCCTCTCAATTTAATTACTTTTCTTGTTCCACTGTGACTGTGCACACACACACACATACATAAAAATAAAATACTGCCTGGATGGTGTTTCTCTGTCTACAGGAATAGGACAAGACTTAGAGGATTTTTCAGAGCTGGATTTTATAGAGTACAAACTCAGCTTTCTAGTCAAGCAGCTAGAAGGGGAAGGAATAAGGTACAAAAACAAAGGCATGGACAGATTACCTTCTACATCATCTAGTGAGAGAAACTGGAGCCTTTTCCTTGGATTATTGTGCTGTAAAGTAGATGCAGGACCAGTTTCCAGGTCATCTAGAAGTATATCAAACCTACAGAGCAGGAAGCACACAGCAATTACTTGTTAGAAATCACGTACTGAGCAATACAATATTTTCTACTTGTTCACCTTTTGGTTAAACAAACAACATTTTTAAACAACAATTTATATCCCACAGGCATTGAGAGTCTTCTGATTACTGTTCTCAGTACCATACTCCAATCTACTCCTATTTGCACACACCAAAACACCTCATTTGTGTGACTTTCTTTCAGAACCTGAACACACTGAGCTCCCAGTCCTCATCCTCAGGAAATATCAGAGTGGTGCTGGACATTTCTTCTTCCTCATGCACATGTTCTACACTTTAATTTCACAGCTAAGTGTGTGCTCAAACCCTGCAAGCCTTGCCAAGCAAAGAGTTCTGGAGAAACCCTAATAGTAGCCCAGTTGGCAGGAAGGTAAGTCTCTGTATGTTTGAACATGCCTGTAGGGTCCATGACAGGGAGGTAAATCCTCCTTTCCACTTTTATTTACATCTCCTGATAAGCTTCTCATAGATCTGGACTTACTCCACAGAACAATTCTACTGTAACTACCTCTCACCACTCAGTGCTGTGTCACTGGCAAACCTCACATCCATCCTGAAATCATTCTAGGCCAGACTTCAAAAAGGACAACTTTGCTTTCTCTTCAGAAACCTCCCCATGACTCATTTTCTAGGCCTGCTAACGAACAACAAACAGCAGCCTTAGGCCTGTATAAACATCCTGCTGCTCTACTCCTGATCAGAACACAACTGGATTCCCCAGACTTGTACCTTGTCACTGTGTTTTCATTTCTGCGAAGCAAATGGCTAAATCCAGGGGAGAGATTTTCTTTTGGAGATCGTTTGGGGCTGTATGTCACAGACACTGGTGCCAACATTATCTCTCTTGCTGCAAAAGACAAAGTCTGTTTAGCTTCCTAAAACCTCCCAGTGAGCTACCTAAAACCTCCCAGTGCAGAACCTCCCACTCATGTGCTTACAGCTTAAAAGAACACTCTTCAAAGCTGTCTACATGTTCACCTGAATGAGATGAAAAGTGCATCACAAGACAGGAAAACGAAAGCAAACTGAGAACCTCCTGTGATTACAGACATGTTGCTTTACAGAACAATGCACAAATCCTGCCTCTATTTTTGCTCTCTTCATTATTTTTAAGTAACACAAAGCAAAGTTGAGAAAAGCACTGACTTGGAGTGTTTGGTTTCCTGTTGGAAGGAGGAAGGGACGATGACCTCTGGCCAGAAGGGGAGCTCAATCGTTTCGGCCTGTGTTGGTCTTTACCTTTCTCTGGGGATCTGTTAGCAACTAAAGAAGTTTCAACAAACCCAACAGTTTGACGTCGAGTTGATGTTTCTAATTGAAAAGAGAAAGGGATTAGTCAATGATTTTCCATGCAACAAGTCACAAATATTCTCCTGAGCTCAGCTTTAACTGCACTCAAGCCTCCCTCACGTCAACACACTTGTGCTGCTTCGCTCGAGTCTCTTTTCCTACTCGTGGAACATTTTCAGTCATGAAAAAAGGATATGATGAAAAATGATGCTAACTAACAGTGTTTAATAAACAAACCATCAGGACAAAAGTATCTTTTGGAAGGAAGGTTGGAGCACCAGCCTGAGTCAAGATTATAAGCACTTAAGAAAGACTCAGTGTTTGCTATAGACTAAACCAGTGTTGATGCTGATTTACTGAGACCAAAGCTCAGTGCAGTCCCATCAGCTTTCCTAACAGCATTCCAATACAACAGCATGAGAACAAAGCTAAGATGGATGTAGAGCCACCCAGAGCTTTGCTAAGGCTCCATTAACTGTTTACAAATACTGAGATATTCTTAGCAAAGAGGACATGAACTAATCTCCAGCTTGAGCCCTACCAGCAACCTTTGCCTTCCCTCTAGTTTAAACAAGTCACTCAGCTTCTAATTGTGAATTTTCTTAGCATAACTCCACAAGTTTGCATGCAAACACTGTTTTTATCCCACCACTGAAGCCTGAAGGACTTGAAAGCTGAGAATAACAAACCCAGAAGACATGCAAACAAAGAAAAGCCAATAAAGACATGTGCAGGAATATAAAAATAGAAGTTACTAGCTGGTGCATCTTCTTTTTCTGTCTGTGTACCCCAATCTTTAAATGCTTTTCCTTCTTCAAGTTCCTTAAAGGCTTTTATAATTGGTGCTTCTGACATCTCATTTTCTTTCTTTTCTATTGTGTTTGTTGAAGAATCTTCTTGTGAGGAATCTTTTTCAGGAGGAGAATGGTGCCTTGAAGAATGTGAGGTGGTGGAGGGGAAAAAAAGGATCAAGTTTTTCATTGTATTTCATACATCCCAACACAAGCTGAACAAACAAAAACCTGCAGAAGTTGAGATTTTTCTGTTGTCAAAGCAAGAATTTTAAGGATGCTGCCTCATTTCAGGCAAGAACCTTAGAGGGTTGTGTTACAGCAAATTCAAGGACCTAAAGTTGAACAGTGTTTGCTCTTACATGTTCTTAGAACCAATAAGTTCTGACAGAAGCTTTAGAAACTTCTGAGTAAGAAGGCAAATGACTAATTTATACCCCAAAGGACACCTGAAGCTTCAAACTGTGTTCAGCTCAGAGTGGGTTTGGACATAAACACAGAGAGGGAAGACAGTGGCACAAGCTGCAGGTGAACTTTCTGCTCCTTCAAGGAAGGCACTGAAAGCTGCTGCTGTTTGTGTCCTGCAGGTGGGTGAGGGAAGAGTGTGTTTGGGTTTTAAGGAATTTTATAGCACCTACAACACTGAGAAATCATTTAAAACTCTATTTAACAAGTACAAAGTCAATTGTGGACAAAAATCTTTCACTTTCCATCACAGTAGATACTGAGGGAAACCAACTCACCTCGAGGGAATATAGGTTTCTTCTAGTCTGTTATCTTTGGGGCTCTCCTGCCCTTCCAAAGGTTGGCCAGTGAAGATGGAATATTCTGCTCCTGGGATCAACCATTTTCTCCTGCTGACATCAGGAGTTCCCAACTTGCTGTGGGAACAAAAAGCTTCAAAATTATGAAAGGCTTTGGAGTTTGTTTTTTGTGGTTTGGGCTTTTTTTCCCTTAAGAAAATCCTGTTATTTATTCTAGTTAAACAGAAACAAATATACCATAAACACAGTGGACAAAATCAGTGCTTTTTAAAACATGTTTGTAAAGTAAAAACAAAATGGTTTTTAAAAATCAGATGTTGAGGTTTCAGCCTAAATGCCACAATGTGCTCAGAATGGAGAGCTCCACAAAGATCTCCCTGTAATTTAATGCTGCTTACTCAGACCAAGGTTTGGGTAACAAGTAGTTCTCAACTAATTAAATGAAAACATTTGGTGGAGATTACTGCAGTAGTTCAGAGCATCTGATCCAGCTTCCCCATGGACACCAATCAGCAGAAAAATACAAAATGGAAAACAAAACCCAAGAAAAAGCCACTGTTGGTGACCTGGGAGTGATAAATATTAACTGATAAGCATCAATTAGTATGTTAATCTCTTGAAACAGCAAAAGAAAAATGTCATTTTTGTACACAGCAAAGTAGATAATTAGGAAAAAAGGGTCTTGTTTACCCAAGCTATGAAGCATATGTACTGTTCTGTAAATCTATCCTGCTGGGCATTCAATTGGAATGAGGCTTTCCTTGAGCCTCTGAGATCAGTTAGGGACAGATTAACTTTAAATCCATATTGGCTCTCTATCCCCCTCCCTGATGAGCTTGGTCTGCCCTGTCCAGGTCTTCCTTTCTCCTGCTCAGTGTTGAAAGAGCTGGTTCATAAACACTAAAGAGCTCTGAAGACAAATCTGTGTCTCTAATATGTTCATACCTGAAATATTTGCATTTTCATAACCACCAAAAATCAGATCCTCCCAAATTCAACTGTTGTCTATATGCAAATGATCAGCCACAAATCACACTAATAATCATTAATGTCACTTGGCTTCACAGCATGAGTGCTGAACTGGGAGAGACCCTGAGAAAACCATGACTAAATAACAAAAACCAAAGGGGCACAAAGCTTTTCAGGTCTTTCAAACATAAAACACCCAAACAAAAGAAACCAACAAACAAAAGCAGAACACAAATCAGCTTTAGTTTTCTTAACACAAATTCACAAGGCCAAGTGCTGGTCAGGCAGAAAGGGACCTGGGAGTGTGGAGAGACAGAGAGCTGAACAGGAGCCAGCAGTGGGCTCAGGGGGCCAAGAAGGCCAATGGCATCCTGGCCTGGATCAGGAACAGTGTGGTCAGCAGGACCAGGGAGGTGATTCTGCCCCTGGACTCGGTGCTGGTGAGGCCACACCTTGAATCCTGGGCTCAGTTCTGGGCCCCTCAGTTCAGGAGGGACATTGAGGGGCTGGAGCAGGTCCAGAGAAGAGCAATGAGGCTGGGGAAGGGACTGGAGCACAAGTGCCATGAGGAGAGGCTGAGGGAGCTGGGGGTGTTCAGCCTGGAGAAGAGGAGGCTCAGGGGAGACCTTATCACCCTCTGCAACTCCCTGACAGGAGGTTGGAGTCAGGTGGGGGTTGGTCTCTGCTCCCAGGCAACCAGCAGCAGGACAAGAGGGCACAGACTCAAGCTCTGCCAGGGGAGGGTTAGGTTGGATATTAGGAAGAGATTTTTTTACAGAGAGAGTGCTCAGGCATTGGAATGTGCTGCCCAGGGAGGTGGTGGATTCCCCATCCCTGGAGGTTTTCAGGCTGAGACTGGATGTGGCACTTAGTGCCATGGTCTAGTGACCACGGTAGGGTTGGACTTGATGATCTTGGAGGTCTTATCCAACCTGGTTGATTCTGTGAATTCAAACTAGAGTTTGCATCCCCATTGAACTTCCACTCTGCTCTCAGGATACCTGTACAAACTACATTTACATCCATATAAAGCAAAAATTAGCCTTTCAGATCAATGACAAAGGCACAAAGAAAACCTCCAATGTCTAACTGGACTATCAGATTGTATTCCCAAAATATTGGTTGAGCATGGGAATCTCTATGCAGCTGAGACCTATCAAACCCTCATTTGGAAGAACAGAGACACTCTGCCAAGCCAAAGATATGTTATCCAAAGCATTTATTTGGGTTTATTAATTCCTTGGAATGTGAAGTCTCAGGATTACGTCCCATGTGTTTAATCCAGTTTAGCCTATGGACTGACCTCATCCTGGTCCACTTTTAGCCAAAACATGTTAAAAAGTATTCCAAAACACAGGAACAGTTTTGACATTGTTGGAATAGTCACTTACTTGGCACAAGAGGTCCTCAGACGATTCTCGGTCACGTGGCGAAGCTTCAGCATATTTTCATGTTCCACTTGCTTGAGCTGAGCTTCAAGTTTTAAAATGGTCCTGAGGTTGAAAGAGTAAAGATGCATTATCAGATGATTTAAATGTCATAAAATAAACATCATACTTCTCAGAGTTCACCCCTTTTTATTCAGATATTCTGCATGAAGCAGGAGAACAGCTGTTGCATTTCCACCTATGTATCTCTCTCTCTAGCTAAATATGGACATAAATATGTATTTGAATTCCCAGTTGAATAAATCAGGTAACCTGGCTAGGAAGATAGGACCAGAGATGCTGCTAGGGAAGCACAGGAAGTAGGAAAACCCACATATCCTAAAATAACAAGGTTTTTAGTGTGCACAAGTAACACAAAGCAACATGAAATGCTGAATAAGATGCAATTAAACTTGTAAGATCTACAGTCCTCACAATCCAGGAGCAGATGCTTAGGCCACAGCCTGGATTTCCTACTGTTAAAATAGTTGTTAGCTTCACAGTTACCTTTTCAAGTCAGAAATCTGTGTGTTTGCATCCAGCAGTTTGTTTTCAGTTGTATTTAATGTATCCTAGGAGGACACAAAGGAAAAGGTAAAAAGCCTAGAAACTACACAAGTGTAAAAGAAAAAAAAGGAATGACATCAGTCTTGAAAACAATACATTAAATACACCTTCCTATTTCCAAGGGGCCATTCAATTCCTTTGACTTTGCACTAACTTTGCTGTCCATGGCTGGAAAATAATGAATCCCAAATTCCCTCCAGTGCTCTGAAGATGCAGTAAGGAGCTATCAGGTAAAATAAATATGGATCTTTCTCTTTGAGCTTTTGCAAAATGCTCGAGTTGCTTCAGCTGATTCTCAGGCCCATTATCACATAGTTTGTTTCTGTACCTACCTTTACTCTTTCATGTTCCTTTCCAAGGGACTCGTATTCTCCTAAAAGCTGAAACAAAAGAACATAAAAACTCACTCTGAGACTACAGTTAGCAGCTTTCTTGACTGCTGTAAAATCACCTCAACTGCTTGTCTAACACTGCAGATGCACTACAGGGGATATAAAGTGTACTCTGACAGTACTTGTTAAGTTTTTGCATATTCTAGTTGGAACAAAAAGTTAGAGATGGGAAAAGAGGAGACAGAGCTCCTGCCACAATGCATGTCTCATTTCCAAATTATTTATCTCTAAAGAAACCAAATGAATGAACAAGTAAAATTTGTCAGGGACTTGAAAACTGACTTTGTCTTTCCAAATTTTAACTGCAAAAAGAGAAGGTAAACCATGAAGTAGCTAATCCCCATTTTGCCAATCCACTCAAACGGTTGTGAAGAATCAGAGGAACAATTTCCTTGACTCAGTCTAAAATAGACAGAATAGACAGATAGACAGGGAGCTGAACAGGAGCCAGCAGTGTGCTCAGGGGGCCAAGAAGGCCAATGCCATCCTGGCCTGGATCAGGAACAGTGTGGTCAGCAGGACCAGGGACTCGATGATCTTGGAGGTCTTTTCCCACCTGGATGATTCTATGATTCTATTCTATGAAAATCATACACACTTTTACAGGTTTTGGCCCTTTTAACAGTTTAACAAGTTTAGCAAGTTGTGATGAGGTATGAAAAATTCAATCTAGTCCCACTAAATAGAGGAGAAAATATCTTCCTGACAATTTCATGTCATATTTTCAAAACTAAAATGAACTAACAGCACTTAGAGTAATACAATTTTGAGACTAACTATTGCAAGCACACACACACTTGCTGCCTTAAATATTTGTTTTTAAACATCTATTTGGTCAAGTCACCTGTTCTTCCTGATCTCTTTTGATCACCTAAGTCTAAGCAGTAGCTGAATCATTTCTGTGGTGTTAGTTGTGCATTAAGCCTTCCAGTAGTAGTTCTCACCCAGGACTTGGTGTTGTGCAACTCAACACCTTTGTCCATTTCTTTACTTACGTTTTGAAACATCTTATTTTCTTCCTTCAGCCTTGTGTTTTTATTATCAGACAACTTGTAAGCCTTTTCAAAAGCCTCTTCCAGCTCCCTGAGCCTGGACCTGAGGCGACTGATGGTGTTGTCCTTCTCCTTGTGCGTCGTGCGCATCTCCTCGATGCGTTCCTGGAGCACCTTGGAAGTGTTGCTGAGGGCCTGGAAACGTTCTCTCCACTCTGCCTGGAGGACAGAGAACAGTCAGTGTAACCTTTCCCTGGCAGATTACTTACTTCAGTGCAAAGCATAACCTAAAAACATCTAAACAGAAAACAAGGAACATCTGTACAGGATCTAAACATGATTTGGGCTCATTTCTATGGATGAAGAATGAAAAGATGAAGAATAAAGAATGTATAAAGAATGAAAATGAAGACTAAAACAACAGTTCTATTTATTTGATAGGACTTCAAATATCCAAAGTTTAGGCCTCTAATCCCAAATGACTGACTTGCTTCCCAGCCTAGAAAAACATCTAAAATCAGAGCAATGAATTAGTCTCTCCAGAAGTCTAACTTCCCTGGCAAAGTGTTCTGCTACTTGACCAACAAATGCAGCCACACATTTATTTATGCACAACCAAATTGGTCTGGCCCAGCCAGAAAGACTCTAAATATACTTATGGAGAGAGTATTTTCTTCCAGCTGAGGTGAGATTTGCTTTTATCACAGCTCTAATAAGAAAGCAATTCAAACTAAATAAATACATAACAAAGTCTAAAGAGAAATATGCTATTATCACAGTATTTCACCCTTAAACTTCGATCCCTGCCAACCTGGGAAGGCTGTTCACAAGCAAAAGTGATGATGACTTAAAGTAGGGAAGTCTGAACAAACTCAGGGAGGAAAGTCACTGGTGTAATGTAGTGGTTGATGTCACATACTAAGAGAAGAGTTGAAAGTTAAAAGATCAGGATATGGAAACACAGATCAGCTTAATAATGACCAAGGGATACTCCTACTCTTCTAATTAAAAAACAGCTTGATTTAAGCACTTACCACTTGCTTTTCCAGCAGATTATTCTTACTTTCAAGGTCTTTTATGCGAGCACTTGCTTCAGTCAGAGCTGCATCTAACTGGTCACACCTATTTAGAACACATAGATTCACACCAATCTCTTGACATTTTCAACTAAAAAAATCTACGATTCATAGCCTCTTTCTCTCCTCAAGCATCCCCACAAATTTTGGGGCCCAGCCTGTGGCCTCCTCCCACAGCCTTCAGCCACTGAGCACTCTGTCTCTGCTCAGAAGGGCTGTAGTGCCCATGGTGTGAGCAGCAAACTGGGAACACACCAGTTTTGGGAAGGATTTTAGCTGTCTTAATTTCCAATATGTGTTTTGACTGGCACTAATTCTATAAAGATCCCACTGAACTCGTATTTAAAGCAAACATTCAAGTTAGACCGAATGGAATACACATGTGGGACACACACTCCAGTACAAAGCCACCAATGAACTCAAGGCTGGTCCTGTATCACCTGCAGCTTTGCCATGAAGGAGGATGATGTTCACCAGTCTGACAGGTGAGTACTATTTCCCACAGAGAGCATTCCATTACAAATTGCTTAGGACTATCTCTGCCTGACAACCTTTCCTTAGGAAAGCTTATACTGGTCAGCAAAAACCAGGTTAAACAAGACCTCTAGGCCAAACATCACATTTGCTGCCTAACAATAATTTTAAACCGATCTTCGTAGAATCATGGAATAGTTTGGGTTGGAAAGGAACTTAAATCACCTAGATCCAACTCCTGCCATGGGCAGGGACACCTGAACTGATGCAAAATGTATATTTAATAGGGAAATATTAGTATGAAATCTCCAGAACTGAAGAGTGACAGAAGCTTCTCAAGACATCCCAAACAAGCATACTCAGTTTTTCAAGTCTAGAGAACACCATGTAAAGAGAAAGACAACAAGTAAGGACAAACAGTACCTGTCAGCAAGACTTTGATTGATTCTCTTCAGGTCCTCAGCTGAGGCATTTCTGTGGCTTTCCTCCAGCTGCTGCCTCAGGCTCTGGATCTCAGAGTCATAGTACGCCCGGAGATCGGCGATGTGCCGAGCGTGTTTCTCCCTCAAGTTCTGCCTGATGCTGTTTGAAACAGAAGGAATAAAATAAAATTCCAGCTCTCCACATGGCCATGCACTGCTGCATTCATTTGCACAGGAGGAACTCAGCAGACAGATCTCTCCTCCAAAACTTCTCTGTGTTCAAGCTGAAGCAAAAAGAGCTTTGTCATCTAAGGCAGCGTCAGACACCTCAGGCTGGCAGAGAAGTCTCCACATTCACACAAACAGAAATGATGACTGTTATATACCAAAATAAATACAAACACCATGCAGAGCTTTATTTTTACAAGTCCTCACACATGGAATATATGCCCTGTCTGCTTGTCCATGTGCAAATCATGAGAACTCTAACAGAGAATGAATTTATTCTTCCTAAGTACAGTAATTCTATGCTTCTCCCACCACCTGACTCTAAAGAAAAGAACAGAATCTCCTCAGAACTTGAAATTCTCTGCTGAAATGACCTCCCTCACACAGCCTATGTCTTTTGGTTTTAACCTGTAAGAAGAAATAACCAAATAAAACATATATAATTGTTTTGCCTTCCAGTTAAGGTTTTGATACCCAAGGAAAACAAAGCACAAATGTTATGCCTTGGAATAAATTGTATGGTCTAAAGAAAATTAAATATTATGGTCCAAAGGAAATTAAATAGTTTAGTTCGAGAAAGACAATTACAAGAAGTAGAAAATGACTGTTCCATTTATATCCCATCTGGACCTCAAGAGGGGAAAAAGCAGCAAAGTCCAACTATGCTCTAAGCAAACAGAACTCACATATTTTGTTTGGTTTTCTACTCCTGTTTTTACACTTCTTTCATGCAAGTACCAACTCCATGACTTTTAGAAAAGAAAAAGTGACTTACTTTGACATTACCACAGGATCTTCAACACATGTCCCTGACAAACTATAATCTGGCAAACTGTTGTCAGCACACTGAGTAACAGAAGATGGAGTTAGTGTCAGTGTTTCTTCCTCCTCAGCGTTGGCTAAATTATCATTGTCAGCATCCCTATATGCCACTGGGAAGGGAGAGCTGGGCTTGTTTTCACTCTGGAAGGAGTGATTTCTCCAGAGGTCCAAATGTACAGCTCTGCTGCTGGCAGGGTGTTTGGGAGAATCATCCAGCTGAGACGAATTACTTGTCTGTGAAAAAGAGTCTGTGTCACACTGACTTGAAAATCCAGGTTCCACCATAGAGTCTGGAGAAAAAGGAGCAGTCTCTTCACGAATATTGAAAAAACAGAGTCCCTGGTTCTGCTGACCTGGTTTCATATGCAGGGTTGGGTCCAAGGTCAGGACCTAGGAAAGAAGTTAAAATGCTTAAATCAACTGTGATTTAACTTTTGTTCTGGTAAATGAAGTTGATCTGAAAACATCAGTAACCCACATAACATACTGCAGGCATTGTATTATGTCATGTTATGTTACTACAATCATTTGGCAGTGCCAAGCAAGATGAAGGGACCTGTAACAGCTTCAATGATGATACATATTCCCAACAACTGCAACTTGAGTTTCTAAGTTTCCATTAATAAAGGACATGGCCAACATCTGCAGCTGTCCAGAAAACCTTTGAGGTATCAGTTGTGTAAACAGAAGGGCTGTGTTGTCTGTTTGCAGGTGACACAGTAACTCTCTAGGGGTTACAAAAGCACCTCAGGAATTATCTAAGCTAGTCACACAGTAGCCACTGTTAGGGATTATGTACAGCACTGAGAGCTGTATAAAGAAAAAGATATGATAAAGAATCATTGCCACAACCTGTGCCTCTTCTGTTTCATGGGTGGAATGAACTTGTCTTGTGGGAAGTGCTAGGAAAACCTGCTCCTGCCACTGCAGTCCCACGTGCACTCCAGCAGCTGCAGCCTCAGCAGGAGCAGATCTGTCCCTGCACCATCCTCAAGGTTGTGCTGCAAAGGTGTTTGTTTTCTCAGGGTGTTCTTAGAGGTTCTTTTCTGCTGGATCCCTTCCCAAGTCGGTTCCTCCCTCGGCTGCACAAAGTGCTGTTCCAGCACAACGCTGGAGGTGGCAGCAGGGGCCAATGCATGTGAGAGCAGCCTCAAACCTGTCCTAGCCTCAACTGAGACGTGAAGGAAATAAATTGTTACCTCTGGTGGGTGACTCGACTGGGAAGAAGGCATAAAACTCTGGTCTGGCATCTGCTTGCTTTCCCTTTGTCTTTTATGATAAATATCCTTCAGTGATGACAACTTCCTTTCACCAGCAGAAGACAACTTCAACAGGCAAAATTGCTACATTACTTTTTCTGAACACAATCCTCCACCCCCAACACAGAGAGATAAGCAAGTTCTGGGGTGGGTTTGCTACTGAAGCAGTTCAGAGCAGGAGGGAGATTTAATCAGTGCAGCCAGTCTGAAACAGGGTCTTTAAGGAGGCACACACACCTTTCACATGCTAGTTAATCACTTTTCAGCTGCTATACAGTTTTGTTGGAATGACAAAAGAAGGTCCAAAAATTCCAAGTGAGGTTAGTGGGAACAGGAGTAATGAGGAAGCAGAATATAAGACTGAGTTAACAAAGTTCTCACACAGAGGTTAGCTCCTGGAGGGCTGGTTCTTTCTCTCCCAGGGAAAAAAGCAAAGACAACAAGCAACTACATGACAACTCTCACACATGGCCAAAGTTTACCTGATCTGGTGATACTTTTGTGGAGAAAACATCAGTGAACTCACTTCTGAAATTCCCTGGTAGAGAGTGATACATCTCCTTTTCATCTGACTTCCAGTAGGAAAGTCCTGATGAGAAGAAACAGCAAGAGAAAATTAAAAATACAAATTTCAAACTCAGGGCTATAGAACAGGAATCCCCAAATCCATTAGTAAATTACTTTGTCATCAAACAACAATGCTGTTAATTATTGGTATCTACTGCTTAAGGGTTTTATTAGAGCCTTTGTCACCAGGAGTTTCAAATCTCAATGCAAAGCACACGCAACAGAACCAGCACCACATGTCACAGCATCAGTAACAAAAGCTATAAATCAGTTAAAACACAGGTTCAACCTTTGGGGTTCAAGGGACAAATCCTCATTTACCACAAACTTTTCTATTTCTAATGATTCCAGTATAGCACTTCAAATTTCTATCACCCAGTGAACAATCCCAGGCAGCCACTGGATGCTACAAACTCTTTGGTCTGGTACTCAGCAGCACTTTGCAGCATGCAAAAAGGCAGACTAACAAGACTAAGAGGGATGGCATGATAGGAACAGGCAGTCTCAAGCCCACTTCAGTTTCTGTGGTGTGTCCCTCTCTCACTGGCTTGTGAAGAATAACTATACACAGTTTGCAGGACTGATCTCTGTGCCCCTGTTTGTTACTGAAAGGAATCCACCCTGTAATGACCAAAATATGGCAATTAGTTAGAATCATAGAATCAACTGGGTTGGAAAAGACCTCCAAGATCATCAAGTCCAACCCTACAGTGGTTATCAGACCATGGCCACATCCAGTCTCAGCTTGAAAACCTCCAGGGATGGTGAATCCACCACCTCCCTGGGCAGCACATTCCAATCCCTGATCACTCTCTCTCCCTAAAAAATCTCTTCCTCATATCCAACCTAACCCTCCCCTGGCAGAGCTTGAGTCTGTGCCCTCTTGTCCTGCTGCTGGTTGCCTGGGAGAAGAGACCAACCCCCACCTGACTCCAACCTCCTGTCAGGGAGTTGCAGAGGGTGAGAAGGTCTCCCCTGAGCCTCCTCTTCTCCAGGCTGAACACCCCCAGCTCCCTCAGCCTCTCCTCATGGCACTTGTGCTCAAGTCCCTTCACCAGTCTCATTGCTCTGCCCTAGACCTGCTCCAGCCCCTCAGTGTCCTTCCTGAACTGACTTGTTTGGCTTCCACCAAAGTAAAAGAAGAAAGAACAAAATTCCACCCCAAATCCACAAAACCCCACCACCACCCCTCATACACCTCCCCCCAAACCAAGCCAAACAACAATCCTCCTCCCAAAAGTAAAGAATCACCACATTACAAACTGCATTATTTTGCTGTCTATTCCCACAATTATTGACTCATGCCCTTGGCTTACAGGAATTCTGCCTCTATTACCATGAGCTCCTGTAATTACTAGATCAGTGGTGCTTATATTGGAAAGCTCATTTGATATCTTCCCATGATTTTCCTAGTAATTACATTATGAAACAGTTTTCAACCCCAAGTGCTGCATGTCCTACATCTGCCAGCAGTGACATGCAGGAGCTACCTCCAGTTGGAAAACAGGAGCAAGAGAAGCAGAATTAGGCTATATCAAAGCTTATCACTGCTTAAATCCTCCTCACTCCCCTGAAATTATTGGAGAGGCATTTCAGTAAGAGTTTTAAAAGATGAGAATTCAAAGGAAAAGGAAATTCAAGCACAAGAAATGAACTATACCTGAAGCTTCAGACACTAAGGAATTTGGACTTTCCTTCGGTGGATTGAGGTAAAAAGTGTAAGGTGGCAAAGCAGCATCAGTAAGGTTTGTCTAAAATCACAATGGAAAAACAGATTTATAAGGAAAAGCACAAGGGAAGGAAAAAAAATCAAGGGTATATGTTTTTAAAATTGCAAGTAAATGTTATTAGCCTTTTTAAGCAAAGTGATTAAATATAATTATCCAGCATGATCCAAACCTACATGGTTTATATTTAGGGCAATCAGAGCCCAAAGGGAAACTAAGCTATGGCTTATAATTAAAAAATATTTATATTTTCTATCACATGTCTGTGCATTTGTGGAGCATTTTTGAGACACATTTTGGACAGACATCTAAACTTCCATGCTCCTTAAGAGCTGCAAGCAGAGAGTGATGACTTAACAACCCTTTCCTCACCCTAAGAGTGGAATTTCTTACATTCAGCTGCTATGACTGCACCTACCACACATCTGGAGCTACCACTGCCATCTCAGACAGACAGACAGACCCTTCTGCTCATCACTCCCAACTTTCTAAGCAGCTTTCCCAGTTCATTGCAGCAACAACTGTGAAAAGTTGGACCAACATATGGGAAAAAAAATCGTATCACTTAAGATTTGCCACAATTCTCCTCTTTCTTACCCAGAGGAAGAAGTGGCATTGATATACCACAGAGCAACTAAGGGCAGGTAGCTTAAAACTGGTCATCTCACATTGCTCTTTTCTGCTGGACTTAAGGCTTTTTGTTCCCTTGCTGCAGCTCAACAGTTGTGCTGCTTGGCAAATGTTGACACCTCATACAACTGAGGACTATAACAGGACAGTAACCATTGAGTTAACAAAAGTAAGAAAAAAAAAATAAGAGAACTAAAGCTGTTCAAGTTTTTGCAGGAATTACCATCTCACCTCAAGGCTATTTTGTCCCTCTTAATGTTTTTATTTAGGTATTCTCCTTTGCCTAAGGAGGAAGAAAGGAAAATGAAGGAGTATCAACTGAATTCTTACAAAGGAACAGAAAGATAAAGCTATTGTCAAAATCTGAGTTTCTGGCACTAATTTCCTCCTGTAGCAGAGAGAGAAAAGGAACCATCCACAGCAGATGAATCTGACTCCTGGTTTGAAATATCCCCTCAGAGGAACATCTTGTTTCCACTGACAATAGAAGACTAAAGAGACCAAGCCCAGAGAGCTACTCTCACCCTTTCTGGATCACCCTCAAAGGGACCACAGGAACAAACAGGCCCTGCCTCGACTCAAGGGATTCCTTTTTGCTAGTTCTCCTGTTCATTCACAGAGTTCCAGGAATTATGTCCTTAAAATGGCCTAAGGGGAGAGGTCTGTGACAATTAATATGCAGAAAGTAACTCTAACCCTTCACAGTTGGGTGTATGATGTGATTAGTCACACAAACATGTTGCATAACATCCTTCTGGATCAGAAACATTCCATGTGATTAAACTTCCCTCCTCAAAATATTCAGATTTGTGGATATACACAGTTATTAACTCAAACCTATGAGAGAGGGAATCCAAATTCTTCTCCCAACAAGTTTTTTGAGCTGATTCAGCAATAGGTGTTAGCCAAATGCTTGAAGCTAAATATGCTCAATGAGAACACACTATAACTGATAAAATAGCAGTGACAAGGATTACCTTAGAAAAACAGAACAAAATGAAAAGACACTTACATTCTCAAGTGGTAATTGCTTCCCTTTCCCATTCTCTTGCATAGACTTCACACACACTTCATCTGCAGTTACTCTTTTTGGTTGGTTATGTTTCAACTTTTGTGCCCATGACGTTAAAGATTTGCTAAACGGTAAGAAACACACACATATACCTTAAGGGATTTCCCCCAACACATCTACAACAGACACTGCAGATGCAAATAAGCACCACACAGAGAGATTAGGCTAAAAAAATACATTTCTCTACCAAGCAGCAGAGGATGGTTTACAATCAAGAGCCATTCAATTCATACCCATCTCAGTGACCAACAGCTCTTTGGGGACTGTCCACAGTCTCCAGTGGGGACTGTCTACAACACATCAACATATCTGGATGTTAATAATTTGATAAGCTTATCACTTACCTGGGCTTTTTCCCACACTGAGCTTCATCAGCTTTATGGCCAAAGTCAGGAGGAAAAGCTGAAACATCATTTCTCCCTGTTGAACAATTTTCCTCGACGTTTTGGGGTAAAAGTTCTCTTTTACTTGGAGCAGTGGCTACACCTGTGTGACCCTGCAAGGCTGCTCCATCCCCGTGCCCCTGGGCAGTTTCCTCCATGTGTTGTTTTGGGGTAAAAGTTCTCTTTTATTTGGAGCAGTGGCTACACCTGTGTGACTCTGCAAGGCTGCTCCATCCCTGTGCCCCTGGGCAGTTTCCTCCATGTGTTCTGTGCCCTTGCTGATGCTGCTGGAGGTGCCAGGGTTCAGCTGGGAGGCAGAGAGTGAGCCATAGCCGCTGCTCATGGCGGCGCGCGCGGAACATTCCTGATGCAGATCAGATGCCTTTGCCTGAGCTTCTGCTTCATTGGATCTGAGCTGATTGACAATGCACTCGTGTTCTTCAAACACCTCAGAGCTCATCCCCATTGGACTGGCTAGTGATGGAGAAGGGTCTGTCAGCTTGGCAGGCGAAGCTTGGCTCTTGCCAGCACCCAAACTGCTGCTCTGCAACTTCACCAAGTGCCTAATCTCATCCTGAATCAGCTACAGACAAGGAAAGGCAAAATTCCCATGAGAACATGCCACGAATCACAGGTACATCTTTGATGCATTTGAGTTCATGTTACTAGTGAGAGATTTAGAGCTCATGTCAAATCACTCTAAGTTTTCCATGTGCAGACACCTCATGCAGAAAGTAGATAAATACATACTGTGCATAACAGTCAAATGTCCATGGGAACAATCCTTAATTCCATGCAGTGAAGTACAGGTCTCAGTAGGCATTTATCCATGAAAAAAACATGCATGAATGTGTTCACTAATTGCCCTCAGCACTGGAGTTACCTACCAACGAGCTGAAGAAACACAAACTATCTGGATGTGCCATTACAAGTGGGCAAAATTTGGGCTAAATTTAGGTCTAAAAGACTGTCTAACTTGGATATAAATCATCATTTCAAGGATGATTTCATGGAAGTATTAACCATTACTCTATTATGCTAATAGGGATGATTAGGAGGGTTGGGTTGGATATCAGGAAGAGATTTTTTACAGAGAGAGTGATCAGGCATTGGAATGTGCTGCCCAGGGAGGTGGTGGATTCACCATCCCTGGAGGTTTTCAAGCTGAGACTGGATGTGGCACTTAGTGCCATGTCTGGTAACCACAGTAGGGTTGGACTTGATGATCTTTGAGGTCTTCTCCAACCCAGTTGATTCCATGACTCTATGACTCTATGTACCTCTGTAAGATTATTTGCATAAAACTCGACATTAAAATACCTAATTTAGATATTCTGTTAAGCAAAGATCTACATTTTGATTAGTTTTGGTGCCTGATGGAACGAAGCAAACCTGGAACTGGATGACTAGATTTAACAGGTTACATTTTAGTCTGCAAAGAGTTATTTCAGTAGATTAGATAAGAAATTCTCTTTTTTTAAATATTACAGTTGTGCACTGGCAATACCAAACAGCTCTGAGAAGCAACTAATGTTTTGCCAAGGGCTGTGCAAAGATTTCACACCAGTGCTCATAACCAGCTCTTCTGCAGAGTTATACTGAACTGCCTGAGCTCACAACTCTTCTCACACATGACAAAACCAGAGCACAGAGCTGTTTTCAAGGATATATTTCAAACTAATTCCCTCAGGAAAGGAAAACAAAAGAACCAGCAACAGTTTCAAGAACATGGAACTCCTGTTTTTTTCACAGAACTACAGTACATTACTCACACATGAATAGCAACTGGAAAGCACAAATTGAACAAACATCATTTGTTCTCTTAAAGTAAGAAATGAAAAATAAGACTTGATTTCAGAGGAACCTCCATGTAACCCTAGTCAGGACCAAGTCTCAGATGTTTTATTAACTTGCAGTGGAATTAACTATTGAATTTCAGCTCAGTCTTTCTATGCAAAAAAAAAAGAAAAAAAAAAACCTAAACAAACAAAAACTTGGGACGGAGTTTTGTTTCATATCAGTTTTTTATGGTGCTTATGATTTCATTTGCAACTGTCTGTGTTTTAAATCTGTGATTCAACTTTGTCGAGGAAGGTAAGGAAGGGAAAACAAAAGGGAAGAAACAGAATTGGGGGTTGAGGAGGGAAAGATAAGATTCACTGCTGACATTTAATCCTTGTCATTGATACCTTGTGCAGGAAAAGTGAACAGCTACAATTCCAATTCAATTGCATTTTAACTTCTCTTTGCATAGTCAGAAAAAATTGCAAGAGTTAAAAAGACCTGGGAAAAACACGATGAGCTTTCTACAGTTTTGGGATTGTGATAAGTTTGTTTTCAATCCTCTTTACTGAAGTCTCATTTTAGGATGATCCATGGGGGGTGACACTTGTCACTAGCACATTTGTCTTCTAGTGCATGAAACACATAAGCCAAGGATTGACCCCACTGACTCCAAAATGAACTGATCCATATTTTCACAGGGATGAAGATGTATTTTTATAAGCACAGCTGGTCTTGAAACACAGCAGAGAGCAAACCTTATCTCAGAGTCATGTCAATGCTGATGCAGCATCCTAATCTACTATTTGGGGGAGAAAAGTATTATTTTTGTCTTGATTATTTATTATTCTTACTAGAATGTGTCCATTTTCCTGCGTTTCAGTGTTTTCACTGGGTCACTGCACACCAGTTTAAGTCTGGAATAGCTCCATCTATTTTATCTAAGGAACTCAACTAAGTTATAGCTGTTGATTTTGTGTTTAGTGTGGCAATTCATGCAGTTAGTAAGTCCCTGCTGACACCACAAACTCAGCTCTTCCAGAGGCCTTTCCTATGGAAAAAAAGACAAAAACCAGCAAAGGCAACACAATGGATTAGTAAAGACTATGATCAGCAACAAGTGAATCAAACCAGTATGGCAAGAGGAAGGAAATACACAGGTAAGGAGACACTGGTGGGACAGAAATGACAAGATGAGGGGCAGGAGGGGAAGGTGAGGCAGGAGAAAGAGGAGATAGGATAAAAGGACAGTACCTCTTGTTAATTCAGCTCAGGAACTGCTGATTACTACTAGTGTGGAGGGCACCAGGAAAGGGAAGGGAAAAACAGCAACCAAAAGGATGAAGATATTAAGCATTGTATATTTATAGCATTTCTGTCTCTTATAAAAACAAACTACATTTCTCCTGCTCTAATGGATAAATATGGTTCAGCAAAGTGTGAACCTTCACATGGCAAATTCCTCGTCCTTAGAAAGGAAACTGTTCAATTGGAGGGTGAAATTAGTGTTCAGCTGTTACAGTGACTGCTCAGTGACTGTTTGCCCAAGCTATGCACTGTCTGGATGAGAGAATGACAAGTTGTCTCAGATTTTATACTGAAAAGAAAGCTACAATGCCTCAAAATTAGAATTTATGCATTCTAACAGTTAATAAAAACCACCTTGTACCTACAAACTCCAGTGGCTGTGAGAACATTCTGAATTAAATGTTTGTGAGAGCAAAACGATTGAAAACAAATAATGCACAAATCACTTCTGAAATGGTTCCTACCAGTTACTTTGCTAATTAGCCAAGGCTGTCTCAATATGCATCCTGTAAACAGCATTCCAGCCAGGCACTTCCAGTAACTGCCTGTCTGAGCACACTTACAGAAGATAAGAGTGCCAGAGACCTCACTGCATTGCTCTGGAGGGGTTGGGGGGGAGAAAAGAAACCTTCAGCCTAACCTACCTACGTGAACAAATCGTTACTTACTTGGATCTGCTGGTGGAACTGCTCTTGCTGGGCAACTATTTGTTCCTGACATTGTTTTTCCACCCGTCTCAGCAGCTGCAACCACCTGGTCTGTTAAATCAGAGCAAAATGATTAGAGCCCAGTCACATACAGTGTCTTACCCCATGACCTTTGACCTCTGACCCTAGACCTCTGATCCTGAGACCTTTCTTCTCTTTTTAATTGAACTTTTCCCCCTGACCCTTGACCTTCTGAGCTCATGATCATTGCCCTTTGACCTGACTCTTGACCTTTTAACCTTAAGCTCTGATTTGCCCTCTGACCCCAGTATTTTGACCCTTGACCTTGCTACCTTTTACCTCTGATGTGTGACTTTATTCCCATTGCCCTTTGCCCTCTGTTGACCTTTTGACCACTGCGTCTTGGCCTCTGACTCAAGCCCTTTACCCTATGACCTCATGACTTCTGACCTATTCCCCAAGCCCAAACATTGCTCCCACCCTAGCCAAGGCCTTTTCTCAGCCCCCAAACCTTTGTTCTCAGCCCTTTCCCTCCACCCATGGCCCCAAACCCCAACCCAGGCAGCTCCACCCCGCGGTGTGCAGCAGCCCCAGGGAGGGCACTGAGGGTCAGGAGGGGCTGGCACAGCTTCTAGAATCCCTTCAGACCAGTTTGAAACGCTACAGTTAGACAGGTTTAAATTTTCCAGTTCAAAAAATCCCAATCTTTAACCATTACAACTAGGGGAAAAAAAATATTCACACCTGTACTGTCAAACACTAAGGCAGAAGCTAAGATATTGCAAAGCACTAAGGGAAAACTGCAGTGAGATGCAGCCAAGTGATCAGTCCATGCACTGCAAAAGAATCTGTCCCATCAGGAGGAATGAACACACATGTACAGACCTGAACCACATCCTTGGATTTCTCTTCCAAAATGCAAAGCAAATCTATATATCAACGGGAAGATTTTTAAATAAACTTTAACAGCAAATACCTCACAGTTCTTCACAACTTCTGAGTCAGCACTGCCAATGCTCTGGATGTCTTGCATGAAGGAGACAAGCAGCTCAACAGACCCAGGCTTTAATGAGCACCTGGAATTCCCTGAGTAACCAGAAACTCCATTGGGATTGGATGAAGGACTTCTGTGAAACACGAGGAAAAAACAGCTCAATTATTTACTGGGTCAGCTGTCCAACACAGTGGCCAAAACAATATACTGCATTTACTAGGCTGCCAGGAGGGAATTATACACTCAGTTTACACTGTGACCCTCATCATGCTGAAATACAAATGACACATAAAATACCCTTGTAAGAATGAGGATATTTTTCAAGACATTGTCAGAGAATCCACACTGTGCTTCACTCTGATCTTACACACTGCTGAAATGCAATAACTTTCCAAGGGGGGGAGAGAGGAGAATCAGCACAGAGATTTCGTAACTTTCCAAGGGGAGAGAGAGAGAGGAGAATCAGCACAGAGATTTCTGCACACTGTACAGACATGACTAAACACAAACCCCTTGTGCTTCCTCACGGAGTCTGAGGTCAGGAGCTCACAGATAAAAGCTTCTGTGTAGCAATGACTTATCAAGTGCAAG